TTAATATGCTCTTGCCCAAACCCTGTCTAACACGACTTCTTACCAGGGGTCGATTTGGAACCAGGCTTTTGCGTGAGGCTGCGCGCTCTAATGACTTCAACTTCCAACTGGCCCTTTTTATCCTCCATTCCAATTTGTATGTCACCTGCAAGAGGAGGGGAAGCACAAGGAGGTCCGGCTGTTTAGAAAAGCACATAGTGTAAGGAAACAAAGAAAGAAAGGAACTGGAGGCGTCTACAGACTCCACAGTGTGATCTCCATCATCTTGATACACAAACAAAAACCCAACAACCTCTAGAGGCTTCCTCAATCCCACGTTACTTTTCCCTTCTCCAAATCCGATGTTGACGTGCACATCTTCCTTTTTCTGGTACTAATTCAGAGGTGGCACAGTGGTTACGTGTTGGGCCGCAAAGTCAGCGGTTCGAAACCACCAGCTGCTCTTCAGGAAAGAGATGAGGCTCTCGAGTCCCGTAAAGATTCACTGTCTCAGAAACCCACGGGGTCAGTTCTACCCTAGCCATAAAGTTCCTTCTCACTGTTCTGGCAATTTACAGGGCCCATCCAACTAGGAAACAGCGGAGTTTTAGGAAGGAAAATAAGAGCTCCTTACCCATAGCAGGGGTGGCCAGAGTTTGTCTGCCAACAAGCTGGGCGGGCCCCAGGCCATCGAGAAAATCACTGAATTGACTATCAGCACCCAGCCGCACTCCAGGAAATATCAAGCTACCAGCAAAAGGATGAAAGAAAAACAAAGGAAACACAACACCTGAAAATTAGATCTCATACAACTCTTTAGGTTAGTTTTTATTTTCCTCCTCAGATCATGAAATATAAACATTTCTTAACTGATCTGTCTACCCACTAATTCTTTATACTACCATTGGGCCAAGCACATAAGACCTAAGCCTTATACGTTCTATTCAAGAGGGATCAGTTACTTTTGTTAACACAGTATCTTTTTGATATTTGCAAATTCAAGTGCCTTTATAAATATAATACTGATGTATAAGGTAATATGAAAAGTTCCATATCATAAACTTTATATAGAAAATTGATCAAAAATAATGCTAAATTTTTAAAATGGGGCTGATTCTTGATTCAAGATTGTAGCAAAGTACAGATTCTTATTTATAAATAAAAATATTTATCTTTGAATTTCTTCATCACCCAATACTTTTATTTAGCCCACCTAGAAGCAAATGGGTTCTAACGCTGCATGACACACTTAGGATATAAGCTCTACAGACCATTTACTCTGCTCCTATTCACTGTAATTGTATCGTAGGGTAACAAGAACTGTGCTTGTTCCAGAGTGGCACTCACTGAGAATGAGCCAATATCTGTAAGAATGTATTGCTTCTAATGTGTTTTCACATCTGTATCTTAATCCAAAGTATGGGAATTAGAGCATATAATGTTATCCCAGCTAAAGACCACAAAATTAATCTTAAGAAGTTAAGGGGCTTCTCCATGATCATGGTAAAACTTTTTTTTTAATAACAAAAAAGAATATTCTTATATTTTTGTGGTATTTTATCAAACAATGGCATTTTATCAGCAAGTACATCTGCATAACTTTCATGCCTGGTAATCTTTGCTCTTAGTTTGTGTAATTGCTGGCAGCATGCACACACATTAGATCAAATGAACAGGATACATCTGTTTCAGGAATGGTAAAAAGTATTATCCTTGGTAGCTTGGTACAATTTCATTTAATTTTCTAGACAAAAAACGAAAAGAAAACTGCCAGTAAAGGTAACGGGAAAAGAAATCGTAGCTATCAAGTTAGAATATGAGTGATCTGAACACAAACAAGCGAATAATCATGTGCACTGCGTGACGAGCTGGAGAGTAATACTCCCTTGTGAAACTCACTTCAGTAAACGTGTAGTTTTATCAAGAAACATTTTAGCATAGTAAAATGCTATGTGCAGGATCTATATGACATTATCAACCAGGAAGAAGCAGCCAAGAAAATAAAAACAAAACTCGTTACGTAGTTTTAGAATTTCAAAAATTTGATCAGAGAAAAACACAACGAGGGAGGCAGATTCTTTAATTTTTGTCCTAAGGTGAAAACGAGTCAGCGATGTTGCAAAAGAAATTCAATCTACTACGAAAATTTTCATTATGAAAATGTTAGACTTGCAACTTTGAGCCCAAAATAATTAGGAAAACGGGGAAACCAGCTCCTCATTTCTAAATGTTCAATAATGGTGATGGTGATGGTGATGGTGATGGTTATGGTAATGGCTAGACTGAGTTTCCCACATAAAAATTCAGTTAGCGGAGCAGATGTCAACTCATAGCAACCGGAGATCGGGTTTCTGAGGCTCTAAGTCGTTACGGTGCCGCTAACTTCCCGCCTCACAGAATTCAGTAAATGTGGCATTTCTATATGAACATACAGTGAAGAACTATTTTGAGGTTGTTTTTCTCCCTTAGTTGACAGAAATAAATCACTCCTAGTAACGGAACACTTCCTTAGCCCTCTGAAGTGTACGAGCATTTAGGTTTAGTAGTGCTTATCCTAAGAAGTCAGGATGGGTTACAACAGATGGTTGGATACTGGTTAGAAAACAAAGAAACAAAACACCTTGCACAATAATCCTTGCGCCCTTTGTTATTTTACCAATTACTCAACAAGCTGTGCTTTTAAAGTGCTACAGGCGTGTGGGGTCACTCACTTTCCCTCAGAGCTGTAGCTGTGGATGCTGCCATCGGTAGACTCGCGGCTGGGCTGCCTGACCATCTTCCTCATTTCAGCCGCCATTCCGGTCTCTGTGCTTCTCTGTATGGTGCTTCTTAACTTCTTGTGGCCCGACTCTGAGGAGAGAGTAAAAGGCACTCTAACTTTATCGAGACAGTTCTCCCTTCAACAGTGACTGATTCTGAAGACAGAATAAATTATACATAGGAGTTTGAGTTCAATAAACATAATTAGAATACAAGAAATTATTTTGCTTAATTACGTCTCTTCAGCCAAATGAGCTTTGGTGAGAATAGCGGGGGAGGTGCACAGCATCACAATTCCAGACTCGCTAAACTTTGCGGAAGAAACACACTCATTGTGTTGCTCAGACGGTCGAGGCAATGAAAAGCTGGTCTTGGCAGTGAGCTTTCCCTTGGCAAGACAATGCTGTGACGTAATGCATTCTTCTTCATCTGAAATTCTCCCAGGAATGGGAATAAACCTAGCAAATGTCAGAAGTGGTACTTGGAGCGAAGCGTTGGCATCACCACACATATAGAGAAATCTAATAGCAAAAGACATCTCATTTTGTAAAGGTCTAAGAGAAAGAGGTGTTTTATATTGCACATAGGTTACCTAGGTAGATATAATAAGTATTAGTCTAATTTCCCATGTGACACAGCGATCTTTTCCCCCTTTTCCTAGCAGCAGGGCATCTTACCGGTCGTTCTGGAAGAGGGAGTCGTTAGCGCGGTGACTTACATCATGGTTGTAGATGACAATCAGTGGGGCCCAACTCATAGTGCCCACAGAGCGCAGAATGACCCACTGCCCAGTCCTGTGCCGTCCTCACAATTGTTATGTCTGAGCCTATTGTTACAGCCACCACATCCATCCATCCATCCAACCGAGTCTGTCTTTTCTTGCCTGACCTTCTCCTTTAGCAAGCATGATGTCCTTTTCCAGGGACTGGTCTTTCTTGATAACATGTCCAAAATACCTGAAACAAAGTCTCTCCCTCCACCCTTCTATAGAACATTCTGGTTGGATTTCAGCCAAGAGATTCTTTTGGCAGTCCATGATACTTTCCATATTCTTTGCCAACACTATCACCCAGATTCATCAATTCGGCCATGGTCTTCTTTATTCATTATCCAACTGAGGTGGCTGAAAACACCACACACACTTGGGTTAGGTGTGACTTAGTCCTTAAAGTGATATACTTACTCGTTAACATTTTAGCAAGGTCTTGTGAAGTGGATTTGCTCAATGCAATGTCATTTGATGTCTCGAATGCTGATTCCATAGCTCATGGTTTGGGAACTAAGTAAAATGAAGTCCTTGACAACTTAAATCTTCTCTCTCTCATAATTTTGTCCGTTGGCCCAGTTGTGAGGACTTAAAAAAAAACATTTTATTGGGGCTCATACAGCTCTTATCACAATCCATACATACATCAGTTGGGTAAAGCACACTTATACATTTGTTGCCCTCATCATTCTCAAAATTCGCTTTCCGCTTGGGTTCCTGGAATCAGCTCATTTTCCTTTTTCCCCTCCCTCCCCGCTCCCTCATGAACCCTTGATAATTTATAAATTATTATTTTATCTTATCTTACACTGGCCAGTGTCTCCCTTCACCCACCTCTCTGAAGGCTGCAGTCTTTGGTCTTCGCAGGTAAGTGTCAAGTCCTCCTGGCTTTCTGCAAGCGAAGTGTGGACTCTGCATGTTTCAGGTCATTATAAGGCTTCCTCCACCTGGATGTTGAATTCTTCATATAGTGTGACTGCTAAGATTTGTCTCATCATATAAACTGAAGAAATATGGTGAAAAGATCCAACCGTGATGCACACCTTTCCTAATTTTTAACCATACAATTCTTGCTTTATTCTGTTTTAACATCTATACTTTGGTTCACGTATGGGTTCTGCATGAACAAAATTAAGTGCTTTAGCGTTCTCATTATTCGAAATGCTCTCCATAGCTTGATATGATCCACACTGTTGAATGACTTTACACAGTCAACAAAACACAAAGGAACATCTTTCTGGTATACACTGCGTTCAGACAAGATCCAGCTGACGTCACCAATGAGATTGCTCTTTTCAGATCAGCTTGAGCTTCTGGCAGCACCATGGTAACAGGCTGCTGCAACTGTTGTTGAACGCTCTTCACACATCCCTTGCATGTGATCACAATGATTTTGTTCAATAATTTCTGGAATCTTGTCACTTTTTAAAAAAATTAGAACAAAATGGATCTCTCCAGTTGGTTGGCCAGGTAGCAGTCTTTCAAAGTTCTTTCTATACACTCATTAATGTGTCCAGTGCTTCATCAGCTTGTTATATACATTCCAATTCCACATATTTTGTCGAACCCTGGAATCTTGTTTTTTGGCTAATGCCTTTGGTGCAGCTTGGACTTCTTCCTTAACAACCACTCACTCTTGATCACATGCTGTCTCTTGAAGTGGCTGAACACTGACCAATTCATTTTGGTGCAGAGCCTCTCTGTTTTCCTTCCACCTTCTGCTGACACATCCTGCATCATCCAACAGTTTGCCAATAGAATCTTTCAATATTGCAACTCAAGGCCTAATTTATTTCTCAGCTTGATATGCTGAGCATGTTCATCCTTTGGGTTTTCTCAGTCCAGGCCCTGCACACTACACTGTAATAATTTAGTCTGTCTTCTTGATCGTTCCTTATGATGTTTTATATTCAGCTCTTTTGCTTATTTCTTCCATTTGACTTAGCGACTGTACATTCAGGAGCAAGTTCCAGAGTTATCTGGACATCCGTTTTGGTCTTTTATTATTATTTTTTCCTATTTAAAAAAATAACCTTTCACTTTCTTCATGAATGGTGTGCTTGAGCCCATCCTACAACTCATCAGGCCTTCTGTCATCCGTGCACAATTGGTCAAATTTGTACTTGAAATGCTCTCTAAACGCAGGTGGGATATATCTGAGGTCGTATTTTGACTCTGGTGGACTTGTTTTAATTGTCTTCATTTTCAACCTGCACTTACAGATGAGCAATTAGTAGTCTGCCCACAGGTGCCCTCTCATTTTGTCTTGTCTGAGGACATTGAGTTTCTTCCTCACCTGTTTTCACAAACGAAGCCAGTCAGTCTCTGGTTAGTGAGATCCAGGTGTCTAGTTATCATTTGTTATTGAAACAAAGGCATTTGTCCTGAAGAAGTATTGGTCTTATAAAATTATAGCATATGATCTCAAGATTGGTTTCTAGCTCCAGGGCCATATTTTACAATTATTGATTGACCCTTACTTTAAAAAAATTATAAATTTAATTTCAGATCATTAGTAATCATCAATGCATCTTACTTACATATTCGATCACTTTCAGACAGAAGAAATACTGGTAAATTTCTTCATCAATAGCTTTAGTGATTGGTACATACATTTGAATAACTGTTGTATTAATTAGGCTTCTTTTTTGAAAATTTTAAGTTTTATTGGCATATAATTCACATACCATACAATTCAAGGGTTTACACATATTAAAGAGTTGTGCAATCATCAGCACAATTTTAGAACATTTTCTTCATTCTAGTGCTCATGATTATTAGCTTTCTCCACCCCCACCTCCCTTGCCATGACCCTAAAAATCTATTAACCCAGTTATTTTCTCTATCTTTAGATTTACTTATCCTGAATTTCATGTAAGGAAAACTGTACAAAACAAACTTCTCAAAATATTAAGATAAAACACAGAAAACTCAATAGAAAAGGAAGCAGAAAATAATAGAACCATAACTTAATTTTAATTTAATGGGTCAAAAGGGAAAACAAATGATAAAGGGTTAAATGTTAACTACATTGCATTAATCCACTTTCCAATGCATTGTCTGAAAGCAAGGATATTCACATCCCTCATTAATGGTCAGAAAAAATACTCCAGAGACTTAATCCACGTGGAGTTTCTACCAGTGAATTTTGGGTGTACACTGTCATCCATAGCCTTCTGCAAACCAGGCGCTCAAAATTTAAGCTCTAATACAGTTCCCTCCCTGATCTTGGATTTCATTATTTATAATTTGGATCACACAGGCTGGTTTGCTTTTTCTGAGTGAGAAGAAATAGAGGCAGATAGAGTGCTGGAACCTCATTTAGTGGGCTGTTTGCTTTAAGACAAGATTTTAAGACCCCAGATGTTATTCTTTCTTCATCACACTTTACTATAGCATCCATACCTTCAGTGATCTCTTCATGTGGGCAAGTATGTTTGAGTAGGGCTGCATAACTGGACTTCCTTGTTGGTGCACTGATAATATTCTATCATAGACAGTAGAAATCTTAAAATGCTCTTTCTTACAATGAATGTGGCACCATTTCTCTTAAATGTATCATGTCCAGCTTATTAAGCAATATGATTGTCTGACACAAAATGGCTAATGCTAGTCCATATCAGTTCATTAATGCCTAGCTATTGAACTTTATGTGTTCCATTTACAATTTTAAACTTCTAATTTCCTAGCTTCATACTTTGTGCACTCTATATTCCAATTATTAATACATTTTGCAGCTGTTTCTTTTCATTTTGAGTCACGCCCATCAGCAAATAAACGTTTTGAAAATTACTGCATTCACATCATTTAGGTTGAGGTGGCAGCTCTTCTTCAATCATGTTTGGTGTCTTTCAACATCAAGGACCCATCTGCCAGCACTCTATTTGACCAGGTTTCACCACTATCCATAGTTTCCTAATCCCACAGACGTGAACAGACTATTTCTTGTTCCTAGTCTGGTCTTTGCATGGAAGTTCTGTTGAAATTTGTTCAGCAGGTGTTGACTCTGCTGGTATTTGTAATACCAATGACACAGCATCCAGCATTACAGCAACCTGAAAATTACCACAGTACAACAACTGATAGATGAGTGGTGGTGTACATTTTATTACCTGATAATTTTCTTGATAAATTCTAAGTTCAGAGCAACTTATTTGAGCTTCTTTGAAATACACATAAAAATGCCATTCTAAAGTGTTTACTGATTATATGCCTGGGCAATATCCAAAGATGATAAAACTTTTACACTTTATAATACCTGAGTATGTTTTCCCTATATACACATTCTACATTTACATCATTTTATCCTTTTTTGAATAATATC